TAAAGCCGAGCAAAGAAAACAGCAGTGAACATGAAAAGAGTGGAGGAGTCCATGCGCAGGGATATTTGTGCAGAAGCCGTCTATCAGCTTACAATGCTTGAGTGTTGAACCAAGAAACAGATGCAACAGTTCAAGGCCTCTCTCAAACAGTTCCACCTGTTCCCAAAAAAAGGAAGAGAGTATCAAAAGAAGGAAAAGAACTTCTCAGTTGCATGAGATAATGCTTTGGACACGACACTGGAAACAACTTGAATGTGTGAAAAGCCCACTTCCAGCACACTCCCCAACCCAGAAGACAACACGAAGACACCTCATATATACGTTCACATGAGTTCACCCCAGCTTGAACACGTCATCTGCTGTGGTTGACATGGAGATGTCTTAAATATTTGGGAAGCTTTGACTTGAGTGTGAAATAGCATCAGAGGCATCGAGTAGAGGTGGGAAGGCTGCCTCGAGGCTTCATGCATGAAATTTCATCTTGGCTGTATCCCCAAGGGAAATGTGGCTTACCCTTTGCCTTGGATTTGGAGGCTAAGAAGAGTCTAGCAGACAATATCATCCTTCCCCCTTATGGCTGCAGAGTCACTTTAAGGGGTTGTCATAACCAGATAGAATAATTATTGATCAAGCCACAGTCACTTGCAGATGGAGTTCCTCTTCCTTAGGAGATTGGTATCTGACAGGCAATCTGGAGGCTTGTCCTCAAAAAGTGTCTTTGGAGCTCATTGTGGGAGGCGCAGTCCAAAGGTGAGTTTACACATGGGTGACTAAAGTTTCCTGTCACTGAGCATAAAGAAGTCACTCCTGAGCAGCGTCCCCAAACCACAGCTACAGGATGTGGGCACAAGCCCTTGTATAATTGTTGGCCAAAAGCCAGTGAGCATTCATCCCTGTGCAAATACTTGGGCTTGTGTGTGTGTGTGTGTGTGTGTGTGTGTGTGTGTGTGTATGTGTGTGTGTGTGTGTGTGCGTTTGTGTATGGTGTTGTTCTTAACCTTTGAAAACCACAGGCATTAGCCTCTCTCTTTCTTCCCGTTGGCATAAGTCATCCTCTTTTCTCCAGCATGGTCTCTTGTCTGTAAAGAATTTCCAAGGAGCTTTTAAGCCTAAATTTAATACCTTTGCCCTCTCTCTGCTGCCCTACGGAATGCCAGGTCGAGGTAAAGCTACCTTACAAAACATCTGCTGGCTCTGTTGGCTTCCGCAACTTTGTTTGGGCGTTTTTTGATCAGATAGGAAATCAGAGTGTTCCATGAGTGACCTGAGCCTTTAAGAAAATAAAGATAATTTCTGGAAATCCCCCCTAAACAACTGTGGTCTATTGTTTTCTTGCTTTAGAATTAACCCAGCTCTATGATACGAGGATCACAATGTAATTGTCCCTGAAGAGAGAGATGCTATATCGGACAGAGCAGTGGGGTCAAAGAAAGGAACAGGAAAATTTAGTGTAATTCCAAAGTTGCCAAGAATTTACTATCTTTTTTTAAAGCATGTTTTCTAGTTTCTAGGCCTATGCTTCATGTTCTGTGAAATGAAAGCATCGGTTTGGCAGGTTTCTATCCTTCCTTAGCCCCAGGGCTCTGTAAAGTGGCTCCTTGAGTAATATTTCAACAAAGGGACCACGAAACTGGGACTCCAGGCCAAGGATCTGGCAACACATAAGCTAGTCTCTCCTTTCTGTGTTAAAAGATGGGCACATGTTCGGACACCAAAGCATCCACCAGACCCCTGGGAAGTCAGGCATGTCCACCATTACCAGCCCTTCATCATCAACTAAGATATGTGGCAGTCTTACTTCTGGTACCAAATGCCCCTCACCCTGGCATACAGAGTTAAACTACTCTACACCAGTCAGCATGTTTTTAAATTGAAAAAAACCTGGTGGGTAAACATGACTTGTTCTGTGGCAATAGTAGGAGTATTTTTTTTTTTTCTGAGATGCATCAGAAGACTGTGAGGGCTCTGTTGTTGGAAATTCAAGTAGATTCCAAAGGAAGCCTTATTAGAAATCTTGCATTGGGAAAAAGTGAAAGAAACAAAGATCAAATGAAAAGCTCACCAAGCATCACAGGTCTGCGGTGATATTTTAGCACTAAGGTTCTCATGTCCGGTCCAATTTCAAATTAGATTGATAACTGCCCTAGGGAAGTGCTAGTGAAGGTTTCAGATGGCAGAGGGATGACAGGAGAAAGCCAAGGCGCACACGTGGCTCCCCTGGTTTGTGGCTCTCACTTGAGCATAAGGACAAAGCACCCAGTGAGAACATCAAGCATTAAATAATAGTAGCTTCGTGGGACAAAGAAATAATTCACGTTGGGAACTGAATCGAGTTATTGTAGATGATGCCCCATGGTCTTTGGCAGAAGTCACTTTAGAGAGGCAGGAACTCAGTGTTTTCTGTGTCCATGAAAGGGTTTGACATCATCTCATTGAGGCGCCACATCTGGGAAATAAGCGTCAAGTGTCCCCAGTTTGGATATTAGAACATTAAGCATTATAAAAGTTAAAGTCAATTTTCAGGAACTCACAGGACTAATTCGGTTCTTTCCAAAATAGGTCTCTAGTTATCTGAATGCTTAGCAACAGTTGTTTAGAGAATAACAGGCCAATGGCCTTAAAGGATTGTATTGACTTCTCAGATATTATATGACATAAAAGCCATTCCCAGTGTACATGGTTTCTAAATATCTTTGTGTCAAGTCAGTTGAGGCTCCACACTTCAAGAAGCAACCCTTCAATCTTTGGATATTTGACACTGGTCAGATTTTCTTTTCTACCATGAAATGCTACTCAAATTCCCGAGTCCTCACTTAGCGGATGGCCCTGCTTTGGAGAGCTGATTTCTTAGTTAGTCAATGTCTTGTACAGATATCATCAGAGAGAGTTTGCAGGGAAGTTCTGTGCTCACTGTTCATCAGACGAAATACAGATACCAGCTCTCAGAGTTTAACAGTCTCCCCCTCCTCTCCTCCACTTTGGGTAGTTTCTGCTAAGGGGGCTATACTGTGTCCTATTAGAAAGTCACTTGGGAGTGTCTGACCGAGCTTTAAAAGTGGGACAGACCTGCACAGGGCAATCCATCATCAGGAAAATCCTTAAATGGTAACTCGAGAGAATAAGCTGGGCATTTCAGAGGCTTCTGCCAGTAAATGCCACTACCTGGAGGCATATGGGAATTTTCAGGCCACAATATTAAAGTAAGTTGCCAATAATGCCTGCCTCAGAAGTATTGCCAAAACAATTGAATGACTTTTCATTCCACTACTGTTGACAGGACAGCTAAAGATTTCAACATTTCCTCTCCCCGTCTCAATAGAAGTTCCTTGCCTTAGGGACTTGAACAATATTTGCCATCATGGGGGGAAGAGGGAGGTGTGACAAAGAAGGATAAAGGAAGGAACAAAATAGTAATGGAAGTAAACAAAATGAAATAAGGGCTCTTCAGGTTCTGGCTTGGAATGCGTGTACTAGACCGATAACTGCCTGCTCCTGAGTCTTTGAATCTGAAGAAGAAAGCTTTCAAAAAAGGGGGGAGGGGGAGAAACAGTGTAAAAATAAGCTTCAGAGGAGCCAAAGAATAAAATAGCTGGAACTTTCCACCTTAGCATCGAGGTAAGTGTCTCGACTTTGGGTCTCAGGAGAGGCAAAAGACTTCCCGTGATGTTTATAGTGATTGGCATTCAGGGCTTTGAAGCTAAGTGAATGCAAGATTTAATTGTTTTTAAAGGAAGAAACCAAAAGAAATGAAATACTGTCATGATTTGTTCAGAGTCAGAGCTAAGTCAGGAGGACGCCAGAAGAAATAGAAGGAAAAAAGAGATGGGGATTAAATTAATGAAGACAGTGTTTTGAAATCATGCCCCCCAAATCCTCTGAGATAGTGAACCTAATAGAGGAGAAAGCCAGTCCCAACCTCACTGTATCCCTGGGGCTCTTGCTTCTTCTGTGTCCTATGCTGACATTCCACGAAAAAAAAAAAATGTCATTGCAAGAGGAGATGTTGTTAAAAAAGAATACTTGAAAATAATGCTACAAAGTAGAATGCTTTGATCAAACTGTGCTTTAGGAACGAACAGGAGGTGAAAGCCTCATTGACAAAGCCTTGGAGTGGAGTGCCTAATTAAGAGAGCATGTTAACAGTTGAAGACCAGATCCAACACCGTCAGTGAAAGATGGAACTGAGAAGGAGGCTGTGGGTGGTTTTTGACGTTTGATTCGTCTTTTTCTCGTCAATGTTAAGAATCAAATTCAAGGCTTTCTACAATTTGGGAGAGCCCTGTGCTAATGAGTTCTACCTATCGTCTTACGAGAAGGTATTTTAAGTTTGGATACAATGTTATGCCACATATCCATGGGTTATTACCATGGAATGCATTTGACTTAGAATTCAAGCCAATTGAAATTGGTAGGTTTGAGGAGTGGATTATACAAAAGAATCACAGAGTATTCTGGATTTGGAAAGTGGTTAATGTAAGGCAGCATCAGAAAGGCTGACGTAGGGATGAGTGGAAGATATAAGGCATATTCTGAGCCTTTGGATAAATATGAGAAATAGGACTATGGATGAGTATGCCCTCATAAATGGCAGCTACAATAGGGGAACCAGTGAGAGCCTTGTGAGAACGAAACAGGGTTCAGGGACTAAAAACTAAACCATTGAAAGTGTCTTTGGATGAAAGAAAGAGAAAGACAAAAGTTTAAACTTTAGCAAATTTAAAATTAAGTTGCATGATGGATTCTGTCCAGAGATTTTAAATTACATAACATTTTTAAATTATATAACATTTCATGAGCTCAGAAGTGTCTGGTTGGGTCTTACAGAAATTTGACTTCTCTCCTATGAGGCTTCAAATGTCTACCAGTCTAATCAAGCTTTTAATAATAATAATAAATCAGCCCTTTAAATATTATTTGAAAGTAACTATTGGAATCCAAACAATGTAGTAAATTTAAACACATAGGTTATCTACAGGTGATGTACTTTGTTACAAAGAGTTTCAAAAGCCGATACTCCCCCGAGCAAGGGAATAGCCAAGTTTGTTTCGGTTCCCAATAAATGACATGAGCCCTGCATAGGTCTCAATAAGAATGGGTTGGGTTAACACCATCAGTTCCTCTTCTCTTCCAGATCCAGCAGAATTCTTGTGAGCCTTCTCGATAGCTGGGATGAGCTTGGATGTGAATCCAGACAACTGAAGAACAAAGAAGAAGCATACATTTAGTGCCTCCAGGATGCTCTGAACATCCCCACTCAGTCAGCCTCAGTGGAGGGGACTACCCTGCTGGGGGCAGCAGCTCTTCCTTCTTAAACATGAATGACCCCTCAGAAATGTTGGGCTTGCTTTTGTTTACCTTTTAGTATAGTACTCAGCCAATAAGGAATGCACGTAGCAAAATTATCTGCCTTATTTGTTTTCCATTAGTCATAACTTGTGGAACATTAAGGAATCAACTTAATATTTGCTCATCGTCTGTTATGAATTAGACACTTGTTGGGCACTGCTGGATGCTAAAGGCCAAATATGAACATCTGCTGCCCTCAAAGACAACTGACTATGATGCAGTCTACAAAGCACATCTGCTGTGGGAAAGCAAGGATCATTGTAACAGACAGAAAGAGGGACAGAAATACCTATGGAGAACGATGTCAAAAGCACACCCTAAGGTCTTTCTTTGCAGAATTTCCATGGGTAGAAATGAGGTTCAGCAAGTCAGAAAAGGCCTAGAGATGGGCATGATGTCTTCCAGCTCAGCCTTCTTCCTGCCACATGGAAATCCCCAGGAAACATCCTTCTCATTACTCCAAAGGCACAGACAGAGAAAATACTGAATTTTATAATTCTAAACCATGTTCCTTAAGCACAATACTTGAGTGACAGTGTGAATATTTTGTTTCTGGTTTTCTTAATTTTTAGACGACTACAAACATGAATATTGCATCAATATCACCCCAGTCCCCCAAGGCCTCCAATCTCCTCTCTTGCTTCCTCTTTCCTCCCTGACTCATGACCTCCTCTTTAATTATTATTGTTACACACACGTGCACATGTATGTGTGTAACAAGTCCATTTAACAGTGTGTGTGTATGGTATACGTGTACAAGGCTGACCGTTTGGCTTAGACAACCCTATGCGGGAGCTTGTCCCTGGAGGAAACGGATTCTCCCTCCCTCTGCAGCCATTGGCCAGTTGTCTACTCCTTCAAACAGAGCAAAGACCTTATGAATTTCCCCCTATCCATGCCAGCATGCCAACTGATATCATGCAGGTCTTGTTAAGGAAATTATATTGTTGAAAATTTCCCATTACGTCTAAAAGACATCAACTATAACCAGGCATCCTGGTCTGCTAGCTCTTCCAGACTTTGAATTCCTGTTCTCAAAGTTTCCCCTAGGTGTGGGGGTTGTGTTACAGATGTGTGAACTGGAGTTGGGCATTCCAGGGACCCTTAGTCTTTCTGTGTTGGCCAGGCGTGAGTCTCTGGAAAAGTCTCCATCTGTTCCACAAAGAAGCTTCGTTGATGAGAGATGAGAACTACACTAACCCATATAACTTATACCACAGCTACAAATCAGTGTTTTGAAAAGCAAATAGGTGCTATTACGAATAATGTTGCTTTAGCAGGTTTCTTTGGGCTAGAGACAAGCATTGTAAAAGAAAATGTAAGCCAAGCAGGTAATCTGCTTCAATCTCTTCGCTCAACCCAATGGGATAGCTTTATTCCTTTCATTGTACTTAGTTTAGAGTCATGTTTTACTTTAAAAAGAGATTTTTAATTTAAAAAGAGAGTTTTAATTAAAACCATTAAACTGCTACCTAACTGGTTCAGGCCATTATTCAACCTAAAATGTTTTTGCAGTTTCCATTTTCAAAGCCAAGTTCAAGACTTCCGCTTCTATAATACCTCCCTGTTGTACCCTGTAGCCTATGAAAAATGCTCTTTTCTGCTGTAACTGGAGAGCAGTCTCAGCAGTTCGGAGTCCTTGCTGCCCTTGCAGAGTACCTGGGTTGAGTTCCCAGCACCCACAGGGTGGCTCACAACCATCTGTAACTCCAGTTGCAGAGAATCCGACACTCTCTCCTGGCCTCCAACAGCACCATGGTATGCAGACATAATATTCATGCACATAAAATAAAAATAAATAGTTTAAAAATAATCATCATCTTTTCTTCTCTTTCATTTCACTAATATCTCCACTCCAACATATTAACAAGTTTTCTAAGCAGAGGGGCAAGTGTGACTTTTACATGGTAAGCCATCACCAGGCTATTACTATTTGGGAATCAAATATAGTTTTTCTATGGGGGGAGAATACCTTTTACAGTCTAAGAGCACAGCATACTCTGTTCATCTGTCCCTCAGGCACCTGTAGAATTTCTGCCACACAAAAATCTCTACTCATTCAAATGTCCACCCTCATCCGAACCCCTCTAAACACACACACACACACACACACACACACACACACACACACACACACACTTTAAATTTCACATATTCTTAGCCATTACCTAAGAACATTATATATAGCTTTGCAGTTGTACCTTTGGGTCATGTTACCTTCACTCAAAATGTCTTATTTTGCCTTGACTCTAGAACTTTGGGAATCAAAAGGAGACATAGCTAAATATCCTTTGGCAATTCAAACCCCCTCCTTCTAAGATGTAGTCTGGTACGTGTCTGCAATCCCAATACTCGGGAGACACAGGACAGGAGGATGAAAAGTTTGGTTCCAGCCTGGGCTATGTACCGAGACCCTAGCTCACCAAAATGTCTCGCTGAATTATGGAACACACAGCTTCATAATACATGTAGCATTAAGTACTGGGATAAATATTAAGCCTTCCTGAGTTTCATAGTCTCTATCTCTAAAAATGGGTATATTGATAATATCAAATTCATAGGTAAAACAAGTGACAGCGGTAGACAATGGTGACATGCTCAAAGCAGTAGGAGCCAGGGTGAGCAATGAGACAAGGCTGGTATTCAGAATCAATGCAAAAAAAAACATTAATAAGTTTGTTTCTTACAAACAAAATCATTAGCTCCGTTATCATCATCAGCATCATCACTATCATCAAGAAACCACCTCCTCCTAAAAGGTAAATGACAATCTCAGCATTTCCCTTTACCAAGGCCATCTGCATCAACACGATGCCGTCTCAGAGGCCAGTGTTTGTCCAACAGGATTACAGAACATGGCTTCAGCTCTCATTGTAACCGTCATTCCTTGAGACTCCCCTGTGGTCTCCGAATCTAAGGGCTGGAAGGACAATATTGACACTATTTCCTGCTCCACACATCACGTTATGTGGATACTCTTCATTCCCAGCCATGTCTGGAACACTCTCAAAGGGGGTCGGCGTGCTTACAGAGACAAGCTGCTCCTTTAAAGGAGTGGCAGACAAAAGGCCATGTCCCCAAGCTGGCTCTTGAGCATTTCAAGCACCTGAACTCAATCTGTGTGACAGGAGCGCTGTGTCATCTGATATGAATGCCACCAGCCACATACTTTTGTCTAAAAGCTTTTATACACCCACCTCTGTCTCCCGCTTTTATTTCTGTCTCAAAAAACATAGGGTCAAGTTTTAACAACTCCGGTTACACAGGGGCTATGTGTTGGTTGTGGGGGAGCACGGTCATGTTCATGGAGGAAGGGGTGCAGTATTCTTGACTTCACAGCGATTATTTACCAGCTGAGTGCTTGGGCCCCTGGTTTCTTCAGGTGTTGTCTGCCAGCAACTCCTGCCTAGAATCTCAGTTTTCTTTATTACAACCATCACTTGCTTCCTGTTTATACTGAGCAGAGAGACCAGGTTTCATGCCTGCAGGCCCACATTCCTTAGCTTGGCAGGTTTTCCTAGCCTTGGGGCCACAGGTTTCAACCTTTCTCTCTGTAAAGAGGAAGGTACCCTGGGATGAGGAACAAATCCTTGTCCAATAGTGAAGATATGAAATCACTTGGCAAGTTACAATGCTGGCCAAAATGTGTGTCACATTTTCTCAGCAACTGTCAATTGCTTTGTACGGACTCTGTAACTGTGGGTAATTTAAAGTGTACAGAAGATGATGAGACAGAAGTTTCTTTTCTACACAAGAAGTTTCCACTCATTCTGTCTTTCAATCTTATCCTATCCACTCCAGCTCTCCCTTCTGAAAACCACACACACAGAGAGAGAGAGAGAGAGAGAGAGAGAGAGAGAGAGAGAGAGAGAGAGAATCACATACATACAACAAAGAAGTCCTTTAGACTTATACCTAGTTCCATGAATATTAGTAACTGCTAAGGTGTGGATGTATGTTTATCATTGTATAGTCTTAGCTTGTTTACTTAATCCCTGTGTTTAAGAGTCTTGACTTTTAAAAATGAAGATATTTACTCCTATCTTAGATGTTTTCTTAGTAAATTTACACGACAATATCACTCATGCTATAAGCAATAAAGATAAAGTAAAAAGTATATCATATGTAAAATTATCTTTATGTGCTATGCAAGTACCTTAAATGCAACATAACCTAGTATCCTACATTTCCACAGTCGTGCATTGTGAGTAGTACATGGCATGTACGCAGATTTGAAAAGATTTCAAGGTGGACAGGTAAGGCAGACTTCCGGGGAGAAGCTGTTAGAGCCCCGTGTTTGCACAACGTGGACATGACCTACACTTCTGATGGGTAACGGGAGGTATCACATTTTTACATCACATGATAGAAACATGAAGGTTGAGTTACACATAGCCAAACTCTTCAAATGATTTACAAGCTAATGAATCAACCTATCATTAATAGGTAATGTTTACAGATAGTATAAACTTGAATTTGAACACCTGTGTATATTAACACATCTCTCTTGAGTACCTTGCTATACTACCTTAGTAACTCAGCCTTGATACAATGATGAAGGCATAATTAAGGACACCCATGAGAGCCCGGAAGACAGAATTACAACTGTTCATTTGGGGAAAACTCACAATAAGAAAGCTGCCACTGTCCTCAGCTATTAAATAGTCTATATTACTTTGCTATTTACCTTAGACTGGACATTTAGTGTGTGTTTCTTGCTTGATGTCACTCATATTGGTTGTAGTTCTATTTTTTGTGTATGTTTTTGCCTTTTTCTCCTGGACAATACTTGATATTTGTTCTTACTGCATATTGTTTTGTATTAGGTTTAGTGCCCTCTTATTTAGACAAAATGGGGAGGTGTTGTGGGAATTCATTCAGCCAATAACCTTTTGGGCATTAGCATCTTTAGGACATGGTCTAAGATACTGAATGTGGACTGATGAGTGCAGACGAAAAGCGAGCTCACTCTCTTGGCTGGTGGTCAAGTTTCTGTACGCAGTTCCCCAGCACCAACAGAGCAGAGGACCGCAACGGCTTTCTTATTGTGAATATTTCCCAAATAAACAGTTGTGATCCTTCATTCCAGGCTCTCATGGACTTCCTTAGTTACACCTATCCAATGTGACCTTATCTGAATCGTCTATCTCCAACTTTCTCTACGGCAATTTATAAAGTTCTAACTGCCTAACTATTCGATGGATGATTCAAGCTCAATATCTCATAAACTAATCTAACCTCTCACATTTTTAGTTATCGCCATTCAAATTCATGCAATCACCATCTAACCACCCAGTAACTACCTCGCCAACTTCTCTGCTGTTTTCTGTATTTCACCTTTCATGCTCTGAAAAAAAAAATATTTGATTGCATCTGGATGTAGGAGACCAAAACAAAGTACCATCAAACCATCACATTTCTCTGTAGGCAACAGAACACAGTCCTTCAATCTTTCATTGTGAACTTCTTCTGGCAAAGGCCATTCAGAAATAAGTACCTACCGCATCCAGTACAAGGAACAAGAGAAGGCTTGTCCTGGGGAGTAACACGTTTAATAGCTAAATCAGGTAAGTATTTGTATTGGCTGATAGTGAAGTTCAACTATTAATACAAAAATATAGATCATTTTAATGATTAAAAATGGTTTTCCTTTAAAGAAAGGAAATTCCCATGAGAAAATATCATTATTATACATTTTAGTCTGGATTAGCAGGTATCTTAATAAATGTCTTCCATTGCAAGTAGTAATAACAATGAAAACTAGGAGTTTGGAGAGGGTATGGACTGAAGAGGCAGAGGCTATGATGCAGGCATGTGTGTGTTACTAATAAGGACTTTTGAACACAAGGGGAGCTGGTACCACCTCTGAAGTTGGGCACTTTACCTTGGCACACATTCTCCCTCTGCCTTTCAACCCCCTCCATGAGTCTGCTCTCACAGCTCGGCTTGGTGGGAGTGTTCTGGTGTTGGTCTTGGTTTTCACTTTGTTTTGTTTTGTTTTGCTAGCTTTAGGTGGTAAAGCATCAGCCTAGGAGCTGCTGTTGATGGCTTGGTTGGGGGATTGTGAAACGGGTATCACATGAAGTGGAGCAACATGATCCCTGAACTAATTCAGTGCCTGCAATCGCCGGAGCCAGAGTCAGCGATGAAACCCTGGGCCTCTGGGGACACCTGCATGAATCCCAGCAGGATCATCAACTTTTCCTGGGAGGAGACTATATCAAAGCCAATTTATCTATTTATTAGGGGGAATTAAGACCCCATCAAGTTTCTAAGCACAGACACATTGCCTCAAGGGCACTTGCCAATTTACAGTTGTTTATTTACACCACACAAATTTACTTCCATAAATAGGTACATGTATATTAATGCAAGAACTTTAATATATCATCAATGGGACTCCAGATCCTAACTGTCAAGTTTTGAACGGAGGCTAAATTAGGTATTAGTGTTTTAAAGTAAAAAACAAATGTTAAGGTAAACATTAAAACAGGACAGAAAAGACAATGACTTCTCAGCCTATATGCACACACTCATGTGTGTATTTGGTTTTGTGAAAATAGTTTGATTTTTCACCAAATCTTCCACTCTGACTGGTTTACTTTCTAATTATGAGGAGTGTCTCTGAGCTTTAGCATTTCTTCTATGATAAGTAGATTAACCCTATTTAGGTTATAGAAAGCCACATTGGCTGTTTGAATTATAGCATTTGAAGTGTTACGCTTGAATGCTTTCTTGATTGGTGGCTACTTTTGAGGCAATGATGGTTCAATATTTTAAGTATTATTCCCTACTAAAGATTGCTTCCATTCATGAGGAGCTGCCCCTCTCTAGGCTAACCAGAAGCGATGAGAGACTAGCACAAGAGACTCTCTCTGTCACCAAAGAGTTAAATGTCTGCTTGAGAGGATGAGAAATGGGGGCATAAAAAGAATCACTGTGGCTTTGTGATGTATGGAGCATCTAGACATGCTATCCATCTGAAAGATAACAAACAGTCTAGTGAGATTAGAGGAAAGGGCAGTATCCACCACACTCTCTCTAGAGATGAGACCACCAGCAGTATCCTATGAAAAGACTTCATAAAGTCTGACCACAAAGCCAGTATGACGAAACAGACTTCACACTATTCCATATTTCTTTCCAGAATAAGGCAACTGAGATGAATCTATATAGAGAACATCACATGCACCCTCTTGCAATAAATATAACTAGCCAAATGTAAGTACTCTAACTTGCTATAATATTCCATTAAAAGATGACAGCAAGAGGGAAGGGACACATTATGGTGACACAAACATAATACATGACGTCTATGAAATAGCTATACTCTTCATACAAGTGTCTAAAGAGGCATTAAATTTTTTGCAATACACCTTCAGGTTGAGTCTTAACAGTTTTTAAGACAGAACTTGTTCTAGAAGCACACAGCTTCACCGAAAGAGCTAATATGTGACAAAGTACCATCTACCTTGCAAATCTCAAGGAACTTCTCATTAGTGTATTTCATAGGATGCTCAGTGAAGGTAGCATAAGGAACCTCAGTGGACCACGGATTCCAGCGTGACAATAGAGACTGTCCCTCGGTGCTCCCCCAGCAAATCCGAAGGCCTTCTCCTGGTCTCCTAAAGGAAGCAGATTTTTATCAGACTGGACATTTCTGTTAAATTCTTTGTAGGATATTTGATCACACTGTATAAAAAGCATTTCCTGATTCATTTAATAAAGAGTGAAATGGCCAATAGCTAGGCAGGGGAGAATAGGCAGGACTTCTGGAAAAAAGAGAGGAACTTGGGATGAATCTAGACACCAGCGAGACGTGGAGCAAGTCAGATGTACAGAGTGGAAGAGAGGTAAAAGACATGTGGCAGAATGCAGATTAATAGAAACAAGTCAATTTAAGTTATAAGAGCTAGTTAGGAACAAGCCAAAGCTAAGGTCAAGTTTTCATAATTAGTAAGAAGTCTCTGTGTCATTTGGAGGTTGGTGGCTAACAAGAAAGTTAGACTACATAGATAAATCTACAGGAAAAATGTGGCAAAGGATTGTAACTCCCCCCCTTAGCCTGTCTATTTCCACTGATGTGAGTGGCTTACCTCAAATCAAACTATTAAGGAACGAAGGATGTAGAAGGATGGGCTCGCTCTCAAACAGGGTAGCTGCAAGAGTGTTTTGGGAAACCACATGGAAATGGGACCCTGGTACTCAGGCCAATGGCCAGAGCTGGAAATACAAGTGCTGACCTCACACTGACATTCTGATGATGGCAGGTAAGAAGGATGGGAGGTAGTCTCAGTGAGAGAGGAAAGGACACGATGAGAAGTCAGCGTTTAAACAGAGCAGCAAACAGAGGAACTGTCTGTGAGAGACCATCAGATCTGCCAAATGGCAGGACGTCAAGGAGGCTTGCATCAGATTTGAAAGGGATGAGGACCATTCAAAACTCTCAGCTCACTAAGTCAGTGACTCCTCCTTTGTATCTCCTAGTCCTCTATTCCCTGCACAAAGCTTACCTAATGAAGCTGCTGTGAGAGACACACCAATGTGTATAGAGACTCTGCCGGCTCCTACCCCTAACCCCACTACTCACTCCTGATGTCCAGAAGGAAGTCATTGTCTAACAGAACCCAGGCCTGGCCATCTGTTGCATACAAATACAAAGTAAGGGAAAGTCAAACAGGAATAGGAGGCAGGAAGCCATGGCAGAAGAGCAATGCTACGTGACTAGAACTAGCATGCATTTGGCATCTTCCTTTCAGTGTGTCCAACTGAATTTTGGATTTGTGGTTTCATGAGGCTCTGAATGCAGAAAGGTGCCTGAAGGGGTAGCCAAACCCAGGTGCTCTGCATTCAACAAGCTTTAGAACCAATGGGCTGCAATTCTAAGCAGCGGCTCCTTGAAGCATCCATTCAGTTCATTTCTTCTAGAAATTCAATCCCGGGATTTTGAGAATGAAAAACCAGAGCTTAATGGTGGTGCCTCCACAAAGCTGTCACTTCCTGTATTAAAGAAGGATTCCTTTGGGAATAGCATGTGGTTTCTGAATGTTTATTCGTTCAGAAATAAGTGTAAACAGTCTCCCACATGCTCACACAGCTCTGCCTCTCAATGGTTAATGCCAAGCTGAGTCTTACAAAAGGAAAGAAAGAAAGAAAGGAACACTGCCTGCCCAGTTCTCAGGTATTTGGTGATTGTGTTTGTAAGGTGAAACTCAACGTGTGTGTGTTGTTTTGTTTTTATTAGTCCTTTGCCTAAGAAGATGAGGAGGAGGAGGATGGAGGAGGAAGAAAAGAAAGAAATGAAAAAAGAAAAAAGAAAGGAAGGAAGAAAGAAAGAAAGGAAGGAAGGAAGGAAGGAAAATAAAATCTGATGCAAGCCTCTGAAGTTTCCTTTGCAAACTTAACCTTCTCAGATTCTGTATTAATTCTGGTCATATCCTTGTATTTTTGTTTTGTTTTCTTTTTCTGTCCTGACAATAAATCGCAAAGTTTATGAATACGAGCTTGCTCATTTGTGGAGCATTCTGGCTTGAGACAATTAACACAACTTGCACAGTGGAATTATTTACTACTTCATATGTCAATTTTTGCACCAAGTACAATTTTGTTTCTCCAAAAGGGATGAAAAATCTGTCAAGAAAGCCTCCATAATAAGTAGACTTGGTTTTTTTTTTCCCTTTAAGGACTTGAACGAAAGTCAAGCATAAAATTCAAGAAGGATATTATTGTTAAATATCTGATCACTTTAACCATGACAATGGCCTTTTCCAGAACAATAAGAGCTGTTAAGAAGTTGGAGGGAAAATACAAAACTAAGCATTGATTCCATAGGTGGCATCTGAGGTGAGGCTGGTCAGGCCCTGTAGCATAGGACTTTGATAAACATTGTGGTTCGCTCCTCTTCTGTTAAATGATTTTGGGAGAACTGTGATGATTGAACACACCTTATGGCCAGCAATATTTGATGCTGCAGTATAATGCAAGTGTGAATTAATAAAACAAAGAGCAAAGGGCAATGAATGAGTGTTCAATATGTCAGTCAGTATGATTGTGGACAATCACATTCCTCTTTCTGAGTGTCATACGAATTAGAATCTGATTTATTCATCCTATTGAACCTTCAGAATATGTTCGTACATTCAATAAAAATTGTATGACCTCCATATCCATTCTTCAGTCACTGGGGGTTTAGTTATTGTAACATTTAGTTATGTCAGTACTGGGAGTGATATAAAAACTTTGATCACATCACACATATAGCTCAGAAACATCTATAACTATAGCTCCACATGATTTGATGCCCTCTTCCAGCACCCCATTCCCCCGAACACATACATATACCCATATATAAGTAAAATAAGTCTTTCTTTAAAACAATAGATAAAAACCATTGTATATGCTATATATGAAATTATTCCATTAACACATATTCAAAGCTTCATATTTTTAAATCTGTTTAATCTAGACAATAGTATGTTTGGAGCTAACTTGATAGACATAGGAAACAAAGAATGGACTTAATCAGGCCAATAAATCAAGAACTGCTAGTGAACTAAAGCAAACAAGAGGGAACAACCTTCAGCACACAGGAAGTCCCCGGAGGTTCTGTGCTTGTCAAAGTCATCAGCCCCTTTTCTCCACCAGACTCTGCCCACGAATACTTCCTTTGTGCTCCGTCTACTTTTCAAGTGATGGTTTAGTGTCTATGATTCCAGGAACTTAAGTTCTCAAGGCAGACCTCCCCATGTCTATCTTAAACCAGCTTTCAAGCCTGTTTTCTTTAGCTGAAGTAAACGCAGCCCCTTAGCTGTTCTAACAGGTTAGGAGAACCTCTGCTAGGCAGTTTGGATGCTCACCTTACTAGACCTGGATGGAGGTGGGTGGTCCTTGGACTTCCCACAGGGCAGGAAACCCTCACTGCTCTTTGGGCTGATGAGGGAGGGGGACTTGATTTGGGGAGGGGAAGGGAAATGGGAGGCGATGGCGGGGAGGAGGCAGAAATCTTTAATAAATAAATAAATTAAAAAAATAAAAAAATAAAAATTGCTCTCAACTTTCCAGAAAAAAAAAAAAGAGAGAGAGAACCTCTGCAATGGGCTCGGAAGTCGTCACCTAACCTGTGCCTACGTTCTGTCCTTAGTGCTACTACTTAATTAGAACAGCTTCTGTTTGTGCAATTGTAGGTAAAGAGGGGACCCAGACCCCATGTTCCAGGAGCAAATCAGATGATCTCTGAGCCAGCTTGGCCACTGTTTTATCTTTCTAGACTGGAACACACACACAGAAACCTGGCAGCAATGGAAGATATACTCACCGTGACTTCTTCTATTGCTCCTTTCTACCCTCTGAATCTGGCCTGCATTTTTATAGTTCTAGACATAAGAAAAGTGATGTCTTTATCTGGCCTGCATTTTCATCATTCTGGAGGTAAGAAAGTTGCTGTGGTCTTTGCTCCTGACCAACTTCAAAGTCTCACAGACACAGGCCAAAATAGAGCAACTCTCTCCAGGAGAGAACTTGGTGAAATGTTCATGATGATCCTAGACTTCTTAAGAAGGAACTTTCCATGATGGTTTCCACATTATTCTCCCTTTCTCTCTCTTACACACACACACACACACACACTCACATACACACACTCACATACATACACACACATATACTCAGTCACATACAAACATACACACACACACACACACACACACACACACACACACACGCACATACTCTAAGAGCTAGAACTTTCAAAGGCCTCAGTTCCTTTCAGAGCCACGTTAATTATCTCTTCTCCTCAGTGACTCAGAAGTCTAAAATACAGTTCTTGGTGGGGAAGAAAGCCTAGGCAATCACAGTTTTCAGTCACCACAGGCAACCAGGTTTGCCTTCTACAGTAACAAAGCAAGAAGCACATTTATCACGAAGGAATTGCTCATACAAGAGCCAGAGAACTATGTGCGTGGAGAAAGAAGTATGTTTTAAGCACAAAAAGTGACTCTGAGTTGAATGGAGAGAAGCGTCTCTCCAGTCAGGCTTGAGTCTTTTCAGGAAGGCCTCCTGTCCCTCCTAGGAAATGTGCCCTGCCACTGCCTTCTCTGGCTTAACACTTGTCCACTCCACAGATTTTTCTTCCTTGGGGGGCAAAGCCATGCATCATTTTGCCTAGGTCAGTACAGCCAACTTCCCTGACTCCTGCTCTTCTTCCTTGGCCTCCCAATCTGCTAAGGCGTGAGTCAAAGACTGCTCCCTAGAATGAGAGCTAGCAGCTTCCATTATTACCTTGTCAGCTGCCCCTCCTTTCCCCTCATCTCAAATCTCAAAGCCGCACCACAGAATGAAAAACATAGCTTGAGGCGCTGAATGGAGATTTATGAGGAAGCACAGATATTAACTCTTACTCTAAACGCAGGGCGTGTGCTTGTAAGTAACTGGTGAGCAAACACAGGGCGGTCCGGGCGGGGGAGGGGGAGCAGTTCAGAACAGCACAGCCTATTTTCTTCCTGTCTCCTTTTTCCTAACTTCCAGCTTTCATTGTTGAAAGGCAGATCTGCTAGCCCCATGAAATGTTAGTCCCTTTGCTTATTTAATCTGGACAAAAGCAGGGGGCCGAGTTGGCATCGCGGTGGGT